GTCCGGCGAGGGGAAATGATCAACGCGTTTTAACAACTCGTAACAAAAAGCAACAATTCCAAGCCGGGGGGAGTTGCTGTTTCTTCCGAAAGTTTTTCCGTAGGTCGGAGGAGGAAAACAGTAAGTTCGCCGGCCGCTTCCTCCTCCTCCTCCTCCTCCGGGGCGAATTGGACTTTTCCCTCGCAGGACCTCGCGGATAACGCGAATGTCTCGAGGTGTACTACACAGTACTTCTTATTTTCCATCCGACGACGGGCGAATAATAAACGCAGGTGTTTTCGTTGGGATGTACTCGACAACAATCGCGTCGGCGGTTCTATTTCGAGCAAACAACACGGCCAACACTCCGCTCGGCGATCCCGAACGAGAAACACTTTTTAATGCCATTTCATTTAAATTTTATTCCACTTCGAGGAATTTCGATCCTGAGTCTATTATTCGATTTCATTCGTTCTCGGAGTATAATCAGATTGTTTCATCATTTAATAAATACCTTATAAAGTGAAGCACTTATAGAATCGATGTAAAAATTAATTTGGAACGTGATTATGTATACTCTGTATATTCTGCGATGTCCTGGAATTTTCTTATGCATGAATGGTAGTCTCAGTTTATGAATGAATAGTTTACAGTATGGTTTACAAAAGGAAGGTAGAATATTCTATATTTCTGTAATTCTACTTACGATTACGATTTAGTATATTTCAACCCTTCTCTCTAAATGAACCATTCTTTTACAATAATATTATATCTCTCTCAATTTTTATTATTTTCCTTTTTCCACTTTATACATGGTATCTTAGTTTCATATTTTTTATTTAATTTTCTTATTACATTCTCTTATTAACTGTTTTAACAACTCGTAACAAAAAGCAACAATTCCAAGCCGGGGGGAGTTGCTGTTTCTTCCGAAAGTTTTTCCGTAGGTCGGAGGAGGAAAACAGTAAGTTCGCCGGCCGCTTCCTCCTCCTCCTCCTCCTCCGGGGCGAATTGGACTTTTCCCTCGCAGGACCTCGCGGATAACGCGAATGTCTCGAGGTGTACTACACAGTACTTCTTATTTTCCATCCGACGACGGGCGAATAATAAACGCAGGTGTTTTCGTTGGGATGTACTCGACAACAATCGCGTCGGCGGTTCTATTTCGAGCAAACAACACGGCCAACACTCCGCTCGGCGATCCCGAACGAGAAACACTTTTTAATGCCATTTCATTTAAATTTTATTCCACTTCGAGGAATTTCGATCCTGAGTCTATTATTCGATTTCATTCGTTCTCGGAGTATAATCAGATTGTTTCATCATTTAATAAATACCTTATAAAGTGAAGCACTTATAGAATCGATGTAAAAATTAATTTGGAACGTGATTATGTATACTCTGTATATTCTGCGATGTCCTGGAATTTTCTTATGCATGAATGGTAGTCTCAGTTTATGAATGAATAGTTTACAGTATGGTTTACAAAAGGAAGGTAGAATATTCTATATTTCTGTAATTCTACTTACGATTACGATTTAGTATATTTCAACCCTTCTCTCTAAATGAACCATTCTTTTACAATAATATTATATCTCTCTCAATTTTTATTATTTCCCTTGTTCCACTTTATACATGGTATCTTAATTTCATATTTTTTATTTAATTTTCTTATTACATTCTCTTATTAATGTAAATCAAAGAGTTTTACAAATCAATACTAATAAATAGTAATAAATAATATTAGACTACAGGTCTTCATAATAACCAGCTATTAGCTTTTGATTGGACAGTTTTAATCAGCTTGCAGGCATTTTATTTACTATACGACAAATCCTGTGCGTTCACAAGTAAAAGCATGATTTATTAATCGTGTATAAGCAGGCCACACGTAAACATTTTCCGCGACGCGTCGTTCTATGAACGACGGGCTTGTCTCCGTTTACCAGTGCCCGCGACGAGAAGAAGAAGCGGAAAGTTTGCCGACTACACCGGGCGGGGGGTTTGAATTTCAGAAATTTCAGGACTGTTGGCTTCAGCTTCTAATCCAATGGTTTCTAATTATGCCGTCGGGTTCGCCTGCGTCGGCTTAATAATCGAAATTTCTAATTAGAAGGGAGTACGCGAGTTGAGCTTTTAACGTTATCGCTGCGAAATCGGTGCCCCGCTGCTGCTGCTGCTGCGTCGGTTCGCAATTAGCCTGGCGTATTTATAATATGTGTATGCGCCTAGGAAACGAGCAACTGCGAAGAGCCTTTCAGCGATGCGATTGCGATGGAATCGCGTTCGCCTGTCTTCTTCCTATTCGTGGAAATAACCGTAATCCGAAAGTAATCGAGGGGTTAATAATTGTTTTGTAAAAATTAACTTCTCACAAAAATTAAGTCAATTATTATAGTAAACGTTCCAGTTTCTAATCACGATTTCTACTCACTTGCTAATTTTTCTCTAATTTTAAGATAACAGAAAATGAGTGGGAAATAATGTAATAGAAAGATTTATAACATACTTTTAATTTAAATTTAATTTACTTTATAATATACTTTTGGCACAGATCTTACAGCTCTTACAATCTTAATATGAGTCGATTCCATATTTTTACCCCGCCCCCTAAATCACGTCTCGCAGTGCTAATAAGATAACGAAATCGAACTAGAAATTTTGGCCTGGCTAACACGGTTTCGAAAGTCTTCGTCGGTTATTAACTCATTCCTCGTGCTCCCACATAATGCACGTTTCCTTTGCATATTTCACCGCGCTTTAAGTGCAGTGTGTCTGCAATTTAAATTAACTATGGCGTGATACATGAAATATATCGTGAGAATTTTCGGCAACGTTTCCTCGGTGCAGATTCCATTTCAATAGCGCTCAGAACAGTTATTCGTCCAAAACGTAACAAGTTAAACGGTCGTTAAAACACATTAGGCGGCATCGCGGCCAGATAGAAACGAAAAATGGCGGTACTGATTCGCGTGGGAGGCACATTCCCGTTGGTATTTCCACCGTTAATGTCTCCGAAGTGGAGGCTGGTAGCCGTCGAGTTACCGGCCTGTTCTCTGTGCTTCCTCTTCTACGTATGTACATCCACGGAACGATTGGAAATCGGTGTCGTTACCGCGGAATCTTTGATCTGAACAGCCGAGCATACAGTGCGGGGGCCAAGTCGGTATGGGATGAAACATCCTGTTGTAACTCCGTGCGCTATCGGCCCGATACAGAATCGAAGACCATTGAAGTTCCACTCTCCGCCTTGGACGATAATAAAGATAGTCGGGAGCCATTGACGTTTTTCCGGAGCGTAAGGGAAACGTTACTCGTAAAACCCCCGGGTACTGTGTCTAATACGCCGCCGCGTGTCCCCGTTTTTGCTTCTGCACTTACACGTGATCGAACTGTAATACTCCAGATCCTTGCGATACAAAGCCAGCGACGATCACCGGGTTGAGGTTATTGTTTTTCATCAGTGAACAAGTTGAAGATGATAGTTATAGAAAATAAGAAGCTATTGACCTTTCTTTGCTGTTTTAATTTCTAATTTCTTTGGATTTTACGAAATTGATATTATAGTAAATGTTCCAATTTCATTTCTTTCTATAATTTCATATGCAATCTGGAGGCAGTGGAATTGTAACAGACATTGAAATGTTTACTATACGTACAAGTATTTTACATCGTACGCCAAAGGAAGATGATCAAAATTCCATTGACCCCTGAAGGAAACGCCAGTTCAGGGCTACTAAGTCCATCCCAGCTGCACCTATGCAACACATTAAATTAGTAATCGCTATCTCCTATACCTAATTTCTGGCAGCCATAATTCATGAGCGCGTTTCCACTTCTACCAGCCATCAAGATTCCTTTCTTAAGGTTAACCACCCTCTGGCTCGCCGTCGTATTACGTATGAATATTCAAACGGGCGAGTGGCCGTTCCCCTTTACATTTATTAAAGCCCCGATGCAGGTCGATGCGAGATATTACATTACGCGGTTCTGTCGGATGCAACGACGACGTTTCCACGGGGTAAAAGACGAGAAAGGAACGGGTGGGGGGAGCCTTTACACCCCCGATCTCTCTCGCCCGCTTCGCATCGCCTTTATGACGCGGCTCTCGCGATAACTGTAATGGCCACTCTCGCAACACGAAGCGGCGCCATTACCGTCACTCTATTTCACAGTTGATATCTCTCCCCTTTCAGTCGCGCGGTGCAACCGCCGGCCACCCACACCTCGGAGCATCCCCGCGGCGCGCGGGCTCCACCTTGACCCAGTGCATCTAAACGGGCTGCGGTAGATGCATAGCATATTGTATATCCACCCGAGGGTCGCATACTGGATAAAAAGCTCGCGACGTCGCCCGTTATTACACCATCCACCGTTGATTTATTTGTAGACGATCGGAATGCTCGCTCGCGGGGGTTGATAGCTCGCCGAGATTCCGTCTCAAGCCAGATACGTTCCCAGAAGTTTCTCCCCTTTTCCAATATTCGTTCAAGTACACGTTTTTTGAGAGAATAATATTGTGATGAGGTTTTTATTATAGCAAACGAATCAGAGTCTTTTATTTATTGTGAATCAGAATAACTTTCAGGATTTGTTTTTGACACAAGAAACTCTAAGCATCACGTAGTAGATATAACGGAAATAGGAATTTGTGTCGTTCGATGTACGCAATATCAGTAACAATATACAATGAAAATATTGGTTTGATTATAATTGATGCCCCATTCTCGTTTATCTCGACTGTAAAATGCACTTACATACAATTAATGGGGTCAGAAGGACATTTTGTACGTACAGCTTGCGGACTGATTTATTCTTTACGTTCTTTTGTTCTTCGGTCATGCTCGAATGGTATAGCTAATCAACATCGATGGAGAACATGCAATATTAACAGAAACGCACACGTATACTTCGATTATTGTTGACGTTTATCTAACCCGATATAACTCAAGTTTTATTTCTTTCTCGTAATCCTGCACCGTAATGTTACTTCTGACTCAACTCAGTTTTTTTTTTTTCAGGCGGCGACACGGATGAGTCGAAAGGCTGACAGTGTCCAGACGCAGCCCTGACTCCCGGAAAAAGCGAGAGACCCTGTCGACTTTACTCCGCGCGTGCGTTAGTAACTCTAAGTAGAGAGGACATTCGGCAAAACGTCGACACGCGCGATCGTTCTCACGGGTCCCGCGATTCCCGGCCGAAATTCCGAATCTCTTCGCCGGCCCGCCACCGGGTGGAACTCTGGACGAGTGGAGATGTCACGTAAGTGGTTCCACAGAGAAGACGACACGTTCAAGCCGCCAGACATCCAAAGATAGCGAGCCGAACTCGCGGGAGCCGCGTGTGTCATCGAGCCTCGACGTCGATCCCTCGATCAGGGATGAGGATTCCCGGTTCAGATCGCGGCGAAACGAGGGCAAAATCAAGCAGAGTTTGAGCGATCGGGTGCGATCGTCGAGAACCAACGACAGACCGAAATTCAAGTTCGCCTTCAGGGATAAAAGAGGATCGGCCGAGGACGGCGAGACTCTCGATACGCCCGATCCGAAAAAATTGCAGAAAAGCGATTCCTTCCTGAGGAGATTCGTAAGGAGTTCGAAGGACAATATAACCGAGGGATGCGAGAGGTTGGTTAGGAACATTCAAAAGAGTCCTTCGGTTCTAAGGAAGAAGTTTCACTTGAGCGACGAGGAGAGACCCGTGCCACCAGTGCGAAGAAAAAGATCCAAAGAAATCAGCAAAGATTCGTCGAAGGATTCAGAGCCTGAAAAACCATCGACCATCCCTTCCGTGGTTTTATCGAGCGACGAGCTTATCGAAGGCGATTTTATAATCGTGAACAAAGACAGCCAAGCGGAAGGGAGCAACCGCGATCATCCCTTGAACGAATCTCCCAGTAGAAATTCCCCGTCGCACGCCGTCGAATACGGAGACTCGTCGACGAGCGTTTCGGTCGAGGACGTGGAGGACTTGATCAGGGCAGAAGACAACCTGAGATTGTTGGAGCAACGCGTGCTCATCAGAAGGCGTTTAGAGAAATCTACGAAACTGTATCAAGCTTTACAACCGAATCAGCGACGATCCTGGAGCGAGGAGAGCCTAGTGCACGCTCTCGAGCAGATTCACCATAAGTTTCGCTCGAGGTTCCCAGCGGCTAGAGTGTCAGTGGACGCTGCGATAGCCGACTGTTCGCCGATCTCTCACCGACGGTTCGCCAGATCGCGCGACAAGCGTGATCCAAGGTCGCCGGAGCGGGACAAGGTAGATTGGAAGTCGTGGAAAGCGAAGCGATCGCCGCCGCCAGACGACTGGCAGGTTCATAGGTCGGGGGGCTGCGATAAGCAGCCCGGGTTAAACGATAAGTCCGTCGCTGCGGCTAAGAAGGAATCGAACACAGAAGACGCAGTGCACGCGCGGATCGCGGCCACGTCGGCCGTAAAATGCAGACTGGCGAATTTCGCCGGGGACGGAGGGGACGAGGAGGTGACACGAGGGACCGCGGAACAGCGGAGTAAACAGCTAGTGGACGCAGCGAGAACCACGGCCGAGGAGAATTCCGGTAGTAGTCAACCGCGGCGCGGCTCACGTGCCCGTTGGATCGAGTCCGGCTCGGCAAACGATGGGATTGTATCGACCGGTGACTCAGAACTCGTGACGACTCGCGTGTACCTCGGCGAGGATGTTCTGAACGCCGATCATATACCGAAGGAGATCATCGCCGGCGATGAGACCCTGAGAGGTAATTCCGTGATTCCCATAGATCGCGTCTCGAGGAAAGATCGGCGATCGTTTGATAAAACAAGGAGAGCGAAGTCGATCAAGGGTTACCGGAGTTCGAACGATTCGAAGATGAAGTTCGTCATCAGGATGATCAGGGCTCGTGACAAGCTGATGCTTTGTCTGAGCGCGTTCGCGATCCTGTTCACGGTGCTGTTGGTGTTGGACCTGCAAATGGACCTCGGGTACAGCGGGCATCATCTGGTACCCAGCCACGGTCGCGTGCGAATCGGCGACGACCCGAACACCGACACGATCTATAACACCTTCAGGAGGAAGTTCCTGCAGAGGGTGAACGCAAGTAAAGAACAGACTAGTGGTGACGCGATCGGTACGACGACGCAGAACAGTGGGAAGAACAATGTGGACGAGGCTAAAACCTCGTGGACCGAAAAGAACGCGGCGCACGACAGCTTCCCCGAGTTAGTGGATATCGTGGTGAAGGGTTACGGTGTCAGTGCTTCCGAAGGAGTGGCCAGGATCAGCGGGGAGGATCATACGTACAATCCTTCGCTGAGTGATTTGAAGAAGATCAAACCTCGGTGAGTTTTTCAATATTCTTTGAATTTTTATATAACACCCGGAAACGTAGACGTTCTAGAATCTGTTTAGTCGACGTGTTTCGCATGCTATCCTATTCGCTCCGAGTCATTTCGTGCATTTACGTGAATTGAAGACTGATATAAAAATTAAATTTTGCGAACATGTAATACGTACTATAATACATGATTCATGAACTTTTACGTGAACTTCATATTTATAAGATGTTTCCTACTGTGCATACACTGAAAGTATGAATGCATATTTCGCTACAGAATTTATTTAAAGCATTTTATGAATTTCGAAGCTGTGTATTCACTTTCAATTTTTATTCGATGTTACATTAAAAATTTAGGCAAGCGCTTGAAGCAATTGAATCGCGGATTTAATTTTAAGACAGTCTCTTCCTTCGTGCAACTCGAGTAAGGAAAATAATTTAAAGATCATTGATCGTTATTTAAGAATGTAGCAAGCTTGGAACAGCTTTGTAGATTTATTTAAACACGCAATTGAATCACTTCATAAAACGGCAGTATTTCCAAACAGAAAGCAAAGAATTCAAAGCATACTGTGTCACTCGCGATATTATTTAGTAAAACCTGAACGGACTCTTCCTAGAAATAAACATCAAACATGGTAATTGCAATTTGCACACGATTAGATTTAACTGCACTAATCAGTGATTCCTAATTACATAATTGGGTCAGCTGATTAATAACAACTATATTTTACGTAAAACTCGAGTTTCACGTCATTAGCGAGTGTTATCGAGAAGATTTCTTATGGACGTAACGCTTCTCGGAATAATAGCAAACGGCTCGATAAAAAAGGATGAGTAAACGAAGGTCACGGTGCTTTAATAATTTTAAAATGACTGTATTTTGTTAGTTTTAAAATCGTCTACATTCGGTATATATATGCGNGTGTTATAAAATAGTATAAAGTTTCAGTGATTCTTGCTTCATTATAAGTACCATTGAGGATTTTGTGCATTTATAGAAAACATGAAGAATGTGTATAACATGCAAAAATGCGAATAATATGAGAAATATAATACACATCATTACCTTTGAAAGGTAAAATAAATCTCAGTGTGGATTTAATTTTTGAAAATGACGACTTAAATCTTTTATCTTCCATAAAAGCCCTCAGTCTAATGACGAGTATTCTGTTAAATAGGATTTAAATAAAAAATGTATTAAATCGTTTATATCTGACAAAAATCATAATAATTAGGATGAATCCTCCTATGCATCAATTATAGAGTTGCTTCTCGCGAACTGATTTAAAATCGGCGAAACAACTTCTGTATTACTACTTATTATAAAGAAAGGAAGGGGACAGGCGTGACGCAGTTATGATTTTTGCTCGGCGGGCGTGAAAATCGATAGACGAGTAGCTCTCGGCACATATTGGCCGGCTGGCAATTGATGAGATCGTTAAAGTAGGCACACCGTAGCGTTGTATATCTAGTTGGGGTTTCGGTACAATTCGCGCGAGTGTACACGGCACCTGCCCGCGCCCCGTCGACGTGCGCGCCCGTGTGTATGCACAGGTCAGAAATGCACACAGCCCGCCTCAATATGCAGCGATCACTAATGCAATTTCATGGCGCATGCACGTGCAGTAACGAAGGCTTAGGTCACGGTTTCATGTATAGCGCGCCGACTGATTACACCTCTTCCTCCGTGTGTGCTAGGACCGATGCGCGCATCGATGGAAACTAATCCTGTCGCCGTGCCTCTCCGTCGGCCTTGTTTTATGAAATCGAATCGTTATTCTCTACTTAATTGAACTCAGATTTATGCCTCCCTTTTTTACTCCTGATTTAGTGAGAAACAAAATATCGTACAAGACATTTTCTTGGGAAAATGCATTTTTTATACCGTGACAAATTATATTATTCAATTGTATAATTAGTAAAATAAAATAATTATAGAAAGATAGATTTCTCTTTTTAATTTGTTAAATCTATTTCGAAATTGCTAGTCATATTTTGCAAGATAGATTTAACAACATGCTCATATTCCTTACTGTGGAACCATATCGTCCGTGTGGGAAAGTATCACGGGACGTCGATGGGATAGTCAGGTTGCCAGGTGTATTTTAGTCGCGGGTAATTTGGCGCGGCGTACGTTAAGATCGTCTTAACGTCCTCCAGAGGTAACCGCTTCTCCGGATTCTGTTTCCAATTATCCCCAAGGCGATCCTCGCGTCTAGACGTGGCATTAATTCATAATACGATTGGCCCGGGACTATCGCATTCGGATTTAAAGTCACCCCGGAAACGAAGACAGACGTGTTTTGATCATCCGACGATCATCGCAACTGAACACAACTGGCGGTTTCGTTAGCGGGATTAATTTTAATTCTCCTTTGGAACCATTGATTATTGTGGTACGACGTAAGGGAGCTCGTTAGAAGTCTAACTCCCGGAGATAAGGAATTTTCTATTATTTAATTTGGTTATTTATTAATGGAGAGAGCGATTATACTTAATCTCTTGGACTGAAATGAACTCGCCAGAAATTATTGAGAGTTGAAACTTCTTATGAAGGAAGTATAAATGTGAGGCTTTGATACATTTATTTGCATGCTTTTAATTAAAGTTCGAATATGATTTGTACAAACTTATACAATGTCTTTCATAGTATTTTCTATCTCATTTAAGATATAATTATCCCTTCGATTTTATCATAATTATCACAAATTTAATTTCTAATTACAAAATTGAATTTTACCTTGATTTATTCCAAACGTAATTCTATCTTGACAATGATTGATGATCCTCATATTAATAAATCCGCGAATCAATAAATCCAATAGAAGAATTCAAAAATGTAAAGTCGACATAAAAATAATGAGACGATATTCTATAAAATAGCTATTGTCTTGATAGTGTCAACATTTACAGGAAAAAGGGAGATGGGAAGCATTACATCGCACGAGGAACCGTGAAACCAGGTAGTCTGTGGTTAGGCGATTAGGAATAGTCGAGTAGGCGAGAAAATCTGTTCATGATCCCTATTTCACACCGACTGTATGCGTCGCATTTGACCTGGCAGTTAAATCCTCTAAGATTTACTCTTAGATAAAACGTTAGTGCTGAGATAGTAGGAACTGTGTCACGATTGCCGGTCTTTTTGCTCGCGTCTTTCTCGTTGCTAACACGGAGTGCGTTGTTTCTCCTAATCCATGCGTGCGTCTCTATTCTGCGTAGATGCGTTTAATATGCATGCTCCTCGATCTGTATCGCTCAGGATTACGTTCCCCGCTCCTCTGGTCCAAAGCACACCGGATTTCCCGCAAAACTGGGTGCACTGCACTCACTCACTCACTCACTCACTCACTCACTCACTCACTCACTCACTCACTCACTCACTCACTCACTCACTCACTCACTCACTCACTCACTCACTCACTCACTCACTCTCTCTCTCTCTCTCTCTCTCTCTCTCTCTCTCTCTCTCTCTCTCTCTTCCTCTCTCCTGGTACCTGTCGTCAGTCTACCGTCAAAATTCAACGGAATTGCCTTGCCAACGTAGTTCACCCTCTCTCATTCCCTGTAATAACTGTCGGATCTTCAACCAACTCCGACGCACGGTCATTCATGTTATACTTAAACCCTTCCAGTTGAAGTTTAGTATTTCCTTACAGTACTTCGAAAATGTAGAATATTTGAAATTTTGACAGTTTAATTAAGGCAAATCTTTGATTAAAAATATTTTCACGAAGACGAGTTTAATAGAACGTTCTAATAAAAAGGAAACATATTCGGGCATTTATTTCAATTCTAATACTTGAACTGCGATTGAAATTGTAACAACAGATTAAAAATTGATTATATGTATATGATAATAAAAGATCTGTGGTTTACAATTGCGACGAGAAACTGTAATTGAGAAATTAGATGATCTAACCAGGTTAAAACGTCATTCTGACAAACAGGAAACCGATTCGCGATTGTTCCAAGGAAAATGGCCTGCACCGTGATTTCCTCTGTTTTATTCATCGTTTCGTCGTCGACTTGGATGACTTTATCGAAGTGAATCATAAGCCCATTAATATGTTCCTCGTGCGCGCAGTTATTTATAAAACAGTGCACAACGATCCTTGGAATTAACGGCGGTCAAACTAATGTCACTGACAGACGCTATTTCGTATTCTGCTTGCCAGAAGCCGACCGATCTGCTCGTCAATCTTCGTCGGACTTTTGAAGACTCACTTTCGTTGACATGACATAAGGTAGCCAGGTCCAAGTTACGATCAAAGTATAAAACAAGGTGTCAAATAGTAATTTCGAATACTAAATCAAATGATAATTAATATATCAGATATTATATCAAACGAGGTTGTATGAATCCTTACATAA